GAGCCTTCCCATTCACCTCATTCCAAAACTTAAAATTCCTCATCTTTAATCTCATTAGCCTCTCACCCGAAAAGAATAACTTGATCTCTCATCTTACCTCCGAAATCTAGAAGCTAGACTACCTATTCCTCCCAAAACCAAATCCCGAGAGATTAAAGGATCAAGATCATCTAACCCTTTATCTTCTTCCTCTCAAACAAGTAGCTATTGGGCTTTAGATCTCGTTCTCAAACCCTAGGTTTCTCCTTCTTCATCAAAATGAGAAGCCCTAGGTTTTGCCTCCTACTTCCAACCAATCACAATCTTAAACGAAATCTCAAAATTTGACAAGGAAAGCCTAAAATTAAGCTTCTATACAACCTCCTATTCCTCTTCTCTTTTTCATTTTATAAATTTCCAAAACCAAGGTCACATCCCCTATCTCAATCTAATCCGAAATCCTAAGTTCAAGCCCAAAATCGAATGAGTAAACCTAAAATCAAACCCTTATAAACCATCAAAACCCTCATTTCCCCTTTCTCTCATAAAATCGGATACAATACGAAGGAAATTAAGGAGGAGTGAGGGTTTCTATAGGATGAAAGTTATGAATATCACTATCATCGTTCATCCCGGAAATACCAGGGGATACATTGATGTAATTAGAGCTATAAAGCAAAGGAAGAATCTTACTTAGGTATCCGATTATGAAAGCCTAGGTCGAAGATGGACGAGTGGCGATGGTGATTGCAACTTCGATGGACAAGAGGGTGTTCTTGCAATAAAAACCCAAAAGTAAAGCCGAAATAGGTTTGCCCCTCTTTTCTTGTTGCTTTTACTTTAACTATCCATGCTTTACAATATCTCTTTCTCCTCTTTTTCTCTCAATTGATCTTCTTATCACCCAATTATTCTTGTTATTCTCAATTGTTCCTCCTTATTTTTCTTGTTCTTTCTTCCACTAAAATTCCTCTCCCAATTCCTCTAAGATTTCCCACAATTCTTTTCTTTTCTCTCTATTGATCCCTTTGTATTCTAAATCCTAATTCAACCTTTATTTATACCTAGGAATCCTCCTCCTCACTCTTGGGATCAATTCTTTTAAGTCTAACCCCCTCCTCCTCCCACAACGAACAAATTCTCCGGTTTATTGTTGGTTTGGTTCTATATGAATAGAGTCAAAACAATTGTGCTTTATGTCTATGTATTATACTTTACTTGTTTTGGTGTTTTTGTTATGCAAGTTGGTGCAAGTGCGGGAGCTACGGTACATGCCGATTTTGTCCCTCTCACCATTAATAGAGATGAATAGTGTCAAAGGGTAGTGTGGTACAATGCGGGTGTACCATAACAAAGTTAGGAGGATTCGAATGACGGATCGTTCGGGTTGATTCCAAATTGGTCTTTTCATTAACGCCTCATGTCAATTTAGGTATCCGAAGGTTTAATTTTCTTTCAATTATACCATTTGGGTGAGTCATTGTAGTCTCTATACTTTTAATTTTTTTTATTGGGTCCATGTACCTTGTGATTTCAATTTTAAGGTTTTTAATTGTTTCAATTATATCCATAATTATTTCAATTTTAGTTTTGATTTTTATTCAATCATGCCCCTAATCAATCCTACTATTTATTTTTATATTTCGTATCTTTTTATATTTTTTATTCTTTTTCTTTTTTTTTTTCAATGTTTGATTAAGCGGGCGACATCTCCTTTTATGGACTCAAGCTCCCGTTGGTGAGCCTGTTCCAACTATGCTCTTTCGTTGTTTTTCATTTTTCGATGCCCGAGTCGGATGTGATGGGCTTACATAGGGAGTTAAGTTTTAGCATAATGGCCTCTATTTCAAATTTTGTAAAACAAATTGAAAAGAGATATGCACGATGAAAATGTAATATATACATGCATAATGTGAAATGTGTTGGATACGTTGTTTTACGTGTTGCAAACTTAAAATCATGATAAAGTTTGTACCGAGAATGAGTTAGATCGATTTTAGTACTCGCTAAAGGTATAACCCCGGAGATAATTTAAGCAATTCAAGAAACATGTCTACCCTACATCAAATTTTTTTTTTATATAGGATTTTTTTTGTAGGACCTTGAGTGATGAGCGAATCTTATGACGGAATACACAAAAAAAAAAATTAAAATTTGGACTTCTATCACATTTTAAATGTGACTTAGAGTCATTTTTCATCGAAAGAAAAAAAATACGGTTATTTATATTACAATGATCACCTATTACAACCAGTTAGATTATATTACAATGCTCATAATATTTTCATTACGTACAAATTCTTATTCTACTCTTTACAATTCCGGACCTAGACATGAGACAAGTAGTGGCTATGACATTTCTAAGTCTTGTATGAGCTCCTCTTCGATGGTGTATTTGTTGCTTGTGGATCCATTTTTTTGGGCAATTTTTTTACAAAATCCGAGGGTAGATAGTCTTCTTTCTTTAGTTGGGCCCGCTCCGATCCGACCTAAAATCTCCAATGTCATTCTCTCGTCATGCTTTGTTTAGATGATAATCCGAAAAAATAATGATTAGAATTAACATCATTTAAAAATAGTTCGTGTCTTAAATGGAGAATCATAGTAGACGGGATTTAGCTTTTCTAAGGTTTAGACAAAACTTGTCTAATCCTAAAATCCTTTCAAGTTTTTGAACTGTCTAAATTACCGAGTGTGGTAATTTAGTCTCCGACTTTATGCACGAGAGGTATAGAAAGGTCATTTTATAAATTTTCTATGCATAAGGTGATCTCAAGTCCAAATGAGCATTAATAGATTTTTGTCATATTTGCTTTCGAATCCCTCTATCTAAATCTAAAAAGGTTTTTTAGCCTCGGATTCAAAGTTTTTGCGAGCTTTTTTATGATATGTGTAACAATTCAAAATTATACATTTAAATCAGTTCACAAATTATGTAAAAAAATAAAAAAATAATAAATTGCATAAATTAAAAGATTTGAAATATATACAAGAATTAAAATAAATAAATGACTTGGCCAAAATAAACAAATGAGATAAATTAAGCAAGACTAAACCTATGGACAAACTCTATTTACCAACGGAGTTATCATTCGTCACTACCTAACTTTCGCATGACTCCTAAAATTTTATGATTTGATTGAAAAAAATTTTTATTTGGGGATATAAGTTATTATTAATTTTGAAATCGTTATCTAATATTAAAGGTAACTAAGAACATAAAATAGACACTAGTTCACGGATTCTAAGATAAGGAATTGGTTATGTCTTTAAAAAAATATCAATAACTCCAAAGTACCATTTGGAATCAAATTTTAGGTTATATATTTTTCTTCAATTTCATTCATTTTATTGTTTCTTTTATTTTTATTGTTGTTATTCATTTAAAGACATGTGTCGTGGAAAAAAACACACCCATGCACATAAACCGACCCAAATAAAGTGAAAATTTTCAAATAACTAAAAAGCCCCCATCTATTTCTTTCTAGATTAAAACGTGCAAAATCACTAATTATTTTAAAGTAGCAAAAGCAACAAAACTGAAAATTCAACATTTTTCTCCTTAGATACTCCAAATAACCCATATCACATTTTTCAGATCTAATCTTTGTTTGGCTTCCATAATTCTTATTATTTTGGTTTTCAACCAATAAAATCTGAAAATTGACATAATAGAAGAGAAAAATCAAAATTCAAAAATCCCCTATAATTATTAAAACAAAAACAACACAATAAAAGTTTTTTTAAAAAAGCAATTGAATTGAATTGAATTGAATTGAATTAAATGCGATGAAAGAAAAAGTGATTTTACTGATGAAGAAAAACTGGTGGGATGATGTAAATCAAAAACCTAGAATCTAGATTCTGAGTATTTTTAAAATTCACAAGGTTGCCCTCAACGTAAAGCAACTGTTAAGAGAAAGAAGAAGCAAAAACAATTCAGCATGCCATCAACAGCAATAAATAAATTGATGATGTTCAATTTGCAAGCATAATAATGTAATGGTAACAATAAGAGGAAAAATGGAGGAGAAAGGAAAGATAAAGAAAAGGAAATAATTGAAGAGAAAAGAAAGAAGACGCAAACACGGGAAAGAGAAGAGAAACAAAAATGGAGGAGAAAGAAAAGGTAAGATTGAAAAAAAAAAAAAAAAAAAGCAATTAAGAAGACATGAATACGGAAAGAGAATAGAAAGAAAAATCGAGGGGAGAGAAGATAAAAAGGGAAAAAAAAGAAGGGAAATTTTGGATAGTTAATTTGAATTTTTTTCCTTCATTTCAGTTGGACTCGATTGCTAACAAAAAACAAAAACCTGGACTCGATTGCTGACAAAAACAAAAATTTGGAACCAAATCTAAGAAATTAAAAGTTGAATACTTATTTCCATTTTACTAAAAATTCAGGATATTATAAAACTAATTAGCCTTATAAAAATTGCAAACAAAATTCAGATTACCAAGGAATTTTTTATTCATCACTAAAAAATCATTGGTACCTATAAGAAAATTAAAAATTTACAATTAGAGATATTGGGTTCCAACGGAGATTAATATATCCATCTGAGAAGTGTGATGAGAAAAGGTCTACAGATAATTTTCGATCTTCTTGTATATAGTCATGACATGCCCATCTTTATATACCTGTTTGTAAGATTTTGGTGAGCTATGATTACATTTGTTAGAAGACACAATTTGAATGGCTTGAGAAATAAACAAATCTTCTAAAAAAATAAATTGTATGAACAAATAGTCTTATTTACAAAGATTAAATTTATGCTCTTCCAAGCTGAATCTTAAAGCCATTAGGCATCTTTCACATTTACACATCCCCAATTTCAAGCTGGCTACGGAAAACTTAGATGAACCAAATATGTTAACAACCCTCTTCATCAATTGATTCATTCTTGAAGAAATCCCATAGATTATTGTTAAGGCAACATCTTGTCTTCTCTTGATGCATCCATCTTTATAAAAATAGAGAGAGCGGTTCAGAAGGAGCAGTAGTGGCCTTGTTTCTTTGCTCATCTCAGCAAAGAATGAGAATGCTTGAGTATGCTGTTAAATGATTTTGTCTCCTGGGCTTTACACAGCAAATTTTTCACTCCTTCTGTCATCTGTTTTTTCATGCAATTCATGTTCATTGTTAGTTCATCTTTTCATATTATAGATTGTACAATATTGAACATTACGAGCAATGAACAATTTAAACCTTTCCCAAACTTCCCCTTGTATAGGGAACTGCTCTTTGGTATCCAATAGTAGTTGGAGGAGATTTTCGGCTATTTTCTTCCCTACACGGCAGTTTTCCATTACTTCTGCTTCGAGTTACGATTGTCGTCGAAGAGCTGTGCCATTTGTCATTCATTGCGTTTGGAAGGCTCGATTCCTAGATCCATTTAGAACTCCAAAATGTTAATTATGACTTCGAAACAAACATGTATATATAACTGTTGCGCAAGATTACCAAAGAATAATTGGATGGGGATGATGAAGATGCTCAAGTTTACCAAGAATAAAACTGTGGCGCAATGCTTCAAGACCTCCAAGTTCATACGAACATCATCCAGACTCCTGTTTAATGCAGTTGTAAAACCAAGATTACAAGTTTCTTTATAATATTGGTCCAGAAACGAAAAGTGAAGTGCACACACGTACACCTTCATACCTGTGCTTTTGCTGGCCAAGCCCAAAATAAGTAGCCAAAGTTGCCATCTGAACATAAATAACCATATCAGGATATCCAAAACATCATGAGATTTGGTAAACAAATCACTAATCTGCACTTATAATTGCAGATCATATGATTGAACCAAAATTTTACTACCTAATGCTTGATATAATAGAAAATGGCTCAAATTTGTTGCATGGATGCATACCTTCATGTTGCCAGCTCTTCTGCCGAATTTTTCAGTCAAAACTCCTAAAGAATCAATCATTCCAACAGGTACAGGTGCAGGCCTACCAATCTCTGCAAATGCCTCCTTAATTCGGACACAGTCAAATCTTTGGATGTTATGTCCTGCCCAAATTCTACCATTCAAAATACTAAAAATTTTGTCAGCGACTTCCTCGAATGTTGGTGCATTTGCAACAGCTTTGCGAGTTATCCCATCAGATCGACTAGACTTCACTGCAACAACAGACAAGTCCGTGGGTCTTATGAGGGTACTATAACTCTCCAGCTCGACAAGTTTCCGTTGACAAACTATTATTGCACCAAACTCCAGTACCCAGAAACGTTGTCCGGCTCTACTGGGCACCGTTGTTTCCAAGTCGAAGAACACAATCTCTGATGAGCCTAGGGGACAAGGACCAGAGACCTCCATTTCTAGTTGCTAGTATTGGTATATCTGTTTTTGGTTCCAGGTTTTTCGTTAATTCTGATCTTCGTCACTGTGTTTTAAATAGCGGGGTAATAATAAGGGAAAGCCCAAAGGTTTGGGATGAAGAAGAGAATGCTTCCCGTTTGAGATTGATTGTCTTGTAGTTCAAGTCAGAGACTTAATTAAGCTTTGCATGGAGGCGTTTTGTTTCTTGCTGAGGTTTTGAGGAAATCATTTCCCTTTGGACAGGTTTATCTTGTTGTAAAGAAGGACAAGGATTGCTTTCTCTGAAACCTTTAAGACGAGACCTGTTTAAAAAGTTTGAACTTTCTTCACACACAAGGCCATGCAAATTGAACGTGTGGAAACAAGTTGAAGCAAAGCCTCCTTCCCAGGAAGGAATTTATTCCCCGGTCAATAATTTCCTGAATCTTTTTTCACCAAAAGAAGACAACTGGAGGATGGCAGTGATGTAAATATAATAGATTTTGAACTCCTCCCTTTTTCTTCTCTATTATCTTTTTAGTTTCTTGTTTGTTAAGCATTCCTGTGTATGGAAGGGTGCATGCATAAGAAGTCTCGTTATTTTCCACTAACTTAAAAGAATGGAAGCTTACCAACAATTGAAAAACAATCTCAATCAATAAGAGTCAAATGTCATTAAGTTATAACAGATACAACAATTTGATTGAGGGTAGCCAAACTGTACAAAGAGACATCGGAATGCTTCCACGTCTCCACTTAATATGGCTAGAGCAAAACCAATGATCATAGCAAAGAAATGACCCTCAATGACAAAATGGCATTTTATTTGTAGCAATCAATAATGAAGTAAACATTTTTTAAGAGCACAACAATTGCAATTCATCTACATTAAACAGGGACAGCAGAATTGAGCGGGAGAAGTGATTTCTTAATTCTCACTACAGCTGCCTGTAGGGTGGTCAGAGATGCTGCATAGGAGATACGTATGCAGCTGTCATCTCCAAATGCAACCCCTGGGACTAGTGCAACCTGTAAATAAGCAACCATCAGATTATAAAGATCTCAAGTAGCATAGCTGCTGCATGCAATGTTACTTAAACTGTAGTTTTAACTTTTAACCACATCAAAGCGTTATAGAATAATATACAGCTTTCACATTATTGGTGAGACGAATAGTGAAACATTGTCAACCAAAAGTAAACAGGACAATATCCTGTGACAGAGCATACCTGAGCCTGATCCAGCAGGTAACGGCAAAGGGAGTCAGAGTCCTCAATTTGACCAAACCCTTCAACCTCTGCTCCATAGTACGAGCTAAAATCAACAAAAAGATAAAATGCTCCCTGAAAGTAAAACAATTCGAATTAGAAGCAGATGAAAGTGCTAAGGAAATGGGAGGTCCTAAGTATAAAAATAAGTAATTGTTAAAAAAAAGAATAGAAAATGGAACATATAAAGAACTAAAAACCAGTACCTGAGGTTCTGACAACCTAACACCTTCCATTTCACCAAAGCTTTTAATCAAGAAATCTCTTCTCTCCCTGAATGCTTTCACCATAGTAGACACAGCTTCCCCGCCAGCATAGCCCATTCCTAATGCAGCTACTGCTGCCTTTTGAGATATACTGCTTGCACCTGAAGTAAACTGGAAGAATATTGCACAGAAATCAATTTGAGCTTGCACAAAGTCACTGTTTAGATCATAAGCATTACAGAAATAGGCACATCAATTCATTGCAAACCAACAATGCAATACACATTTTCTTACTGATAAATTATGACCATCAAGCGTTGCAATTGCAGCCCCATGTCTTTACGAGATCCCAGAATTTTTATCTCCTTAGACGTCTTTTTCATTTTAAGCACTTGTGTCATTATTGCATTTCTCAGTCATTGTGTCAATGAGTGCTCCATGTGTAAAATAGATAGTAAGTAGAGGTCACAAGAATAATGATTTCTCTCAAATGCTTCCGGGAGATATATATGGCATCATAAAAAATACCAAGTCTTGACTATTTGATTTGGTGACATGATTCAAGTTTCATCTTGTATCTTGCATACTTTAATGACACAATAAATTGCGAAGCCTTCATCTATCTAAATTGGCCATTTATCTGCTTCTTTAGAAGCCTCAATTTCCATCTCTCCCCTTCCAGTATTAACAAACTCTATTTCCCTTCCAGTATTAACAAGCTCTATTTCCTTCAAGTGTCCAAAGTATCTGCAATGAAGTTCAGTTGGCTCCTTCTACCCTTACAGAAAGGACCACTCTTCAATTGACAATAAAAGCATACTTGATCCACCATAATCTTTGGATGGTAAAAAACATCCATGCGAACACAGTCAAGTTTGAAATCTAACAACTTTGAAATGCTATGAAATAGATAAAACATTGGAAACCTGTTGGTAAGAATCACAAGTGATGCTCTGGACAAAAGAAAACTTCAGAGTATGGATGATAGACTCAATTCATTCAAATTTCAACAGATTGAAGGCGGCAAAGTGGTGTGATAGATACCTGGCTCTGTATTTTATTACATGCTGCAACAAAGTGCTTGGGGCCAGCAACATACCCAAGTCTCCAACCAGTCATTGCAAAGGCCTGCAAATTTGGCACTTTCTATATGTTAATCCACTGAACAAGGCATACTGCTGTTGGTTTTATTCACAATCACAACACCACCAAAACTATATATAGAATATCATATTGGTAAAGAGAAGAAGACAATAGTAGATATTTAGGACGGATACTGAAATGCAAGATTAAGTTACCTTAGAAAATCCATTCACTGTCAAAGTCCTTTCCCACATGGCAGGCAAAGATGCAAAGCTAGCGTGAGTAGCAGGTGCATATATTATGTGTTCATATATCTCATCAGACAAGACCTGAGTGCAATGCCAAATAAATTAAGCATTTAAATGTCAGCCAAGCATAGAACTTGATTAGGTTTTGGAAATTGTACCAGAAGCCTAGGATGTTTTGCTACAATCTGTGCAATCTCTTCAAGCAATTTCTTGGGATAAACTGATCCTGTTGGATTAGATGGAGAGCAAAGAATGAGCAGCCTTGACTTTTCACTGAGTTTGGATTCAAGTAGCTTTGGATCCAAGAGAAAATTATCGGAGATTGATGTGGGAAGAATCACTGGTGTTGCATCAGCCAGCCTCGCCATTTCTGGGTAACTCACCCAGAATGGTGCTGGAATTATGACCTGAGAGTAAGATATTTCTTTTGTCAATACGAGCTACATTTAGCAATAAAACAACTTCAATAATATTGAGCTCCTACTGTATTCTACAAAGAACATGACTTTGGTTACCTAAATGAAAATATTTACAATTGTGCAGAATATGTAAAAGAATAGGTGTAACACATGCTCTGTGATCACATTTTTTTCACACTTGCAATTAGGCTATTAGGCTGACAATTAAGAGACATGGTGAATCATGCTAACCACAAGCTATTTCTTTTACACATCAACATTATCTTCTCTCTTTCTATCATCTTGTTTTTTTTTTTCCCCTGAAATCTTATAAAATGCAGAAAACCATAGCTCCATATTCGATGAACTGTTAAGTCGATCCAGAGTTACAAAAACAGGTTGCAAATGCTACCCCCTACCTAACACTCAAATATGGGAAGGCAATAATTCCAGCACCAATTGGTCGGTGGCAGAAATGCAGAATAGCACCGTAATTCCAATATTTTGAGATTTAAAACTTCACCTCATCGCCAGGGGAGCAAACAGCTAGTAATGCTTGATATATACTCTGCTTAGCACCATTGCTAACTAAAATTTGGTCAGGTGTGTAAGAAATACCATTCTCCTCTGCCCAAAGAAAAAAATAATAATAATCATTAAAAAAAAAAAGTAAGAGATCCCATCCTGGAATGCACCAAGCATATCAAATAGTTCAGACACAATTGCTGCGAATATACATTTACCCTTCAGCTTCTGACAAATGGCAGCTCGAAGTTCCTGTGTACCAGCATTTGGAGTGTACCTTGTGTAACCTTCACGAATAGCATTTATACCAGCCTAACATTTTCACAGCCGAAAAAAGAAAAAATTACAATCAGTTTAAGCACTGGCATACACTTCAAAGCATATCACAGACATGAATAAAATGCCAACGACAGAGAAAACATCACCTCGGCTATTACAGCTGGTGTATCAAAATCAGGCTCTCCAGCAGCCAACCGAATAACAGGCACCCCAGCTTGTGCAAGCGCAGTGGCCTGGTCAGTTATGGCCACGGTCTTTGAAGGTTTTACAGCATTCACCCTTGGACTCAAAGAAATATCCACTTGCATCTCATCAGACCTACTTTCTGCCTTCACCACTACACTTATTCTATACAACTGTGATTCCCTAGTAGCCTCTAATGATCTATCAAGATAACACATTACAAGTGGTCAGAAAGTAACTGTGGTATAACATTACCAACAATAAGAAACACACAGACACAAAAACAAAAATACAAATTCTGAAGTCAATAACTTGAAGCAATTTTAATGCAATTTTTAGAAAACAAAATTTGCAAGCTCTTAAATTTCCATATCTGAACATGGTCACATTGCCTTGTATAAAGAAGCTGGCTCTATTCATTAACATCAACCAATCGTTTCCATTCCACCTAAAATGAAACAAAAGGCAAAACAAAACAAACCCATCTTCACGGAGTTGCGACACACAGTTAACATTACATTCAGGTTGAAAATTTTGAGAAACATAAAGAAGAGCCATTTCTAATACAATGAGAAACAGTTGCAGAATTGATTGGAAAGTGAGAAAGCAACTCACTTGAAGGAGAAATTGTGAGAGCCGGAAAGGAAGGAGACTGATCCGGAGGTTTGAGAGTTCGAACCCGAATTGGGTACCAGAGGTTGGTGGTGTTGAAAACCAAGACGAGAAATGCTTGCAGATGCAGCAGCCATGACAGAAGAAAGGTAGGCGTTTTTCTAGGGGTAGTTGGATTCTGATTCTCCATGGCTTCTCTTTATAGTTGGGTTGACGATCGTACGGTCCCTGGGCTTCAAGTAATGGATTAATTAGGTCCTTTTATTAAATTAAGTATTAATTAAATCCTTTTATTGAATCAATTTGTTTAATATTGACCCTCTGTTGGTGGCGTTGCTGATTAAGTAAATTGCATTATTAAATAACACATGCTTTTTTTACCTTATTGATCCTGTGATTTATTTTCTTCCAATTTTTTTTTATTATAAACGTTATTTATTGAAATTAAAAAAAATGAGAAAAAATTCTAATTTCAATAAATATTTTTTGTAATAAAAAAAATAGTGATGAATCTTTAACTTTTTTAATTTAAATAAATGATTTTTATAATAAAAATAAAAGAAAAAAATTGAAAAAAAATTATAATTTCAATGTATGTTTTCTGCAATAAAAAACAATGATGAAGCTTTAATTATTATTTTTTCAATTTTTTTATTTCAATAAATGCTTTCTTAATAGAGGAAAGAAAAGAAAAGAAAAAATAACTAACGTGTCAATAAGATCAGAAAACAAGTATTGTTTGATTATGCAATTTACTTAATATGGTTAGTAACGTCACTCCTAAAGGGTTTATATAAACAAATTGCCTTAGTATAAGGACTTAATTCACACTTACGTTCATTAAGGGATCTGATTGATCAATTTCTTGTAGAATATGAAACGTCCGACAGTTTAACCCTTTATAGTTCTTTCCTCTTTTTTGTTGTTTTATTTATTTTAATTTTTAAATTGAAGTTGGGGTTGGTGGGAACTGGACAAGTTGGGGGTTGGTTAGGACTTGAGTGGATTTCCAATTTGGAAGATGATTAGTCCATATCGACCGTTCATTAGTTGTGGGTCCACAAAGAAAGCGTAAGTCTACGGTTGTGATTGATTGATTGATTAGTTAAACAGAGAAGTTTGGTGAAGCACGAATGAATTAGAGAAATAGAGGAAAAGAAGAAAAAATATCTGAGGGGACCGTTGAGTTATATATAAATTTAAGCGGCTATTGCTTTGACATTTAAAAAGGTAAAGATGGCTTGTTACAGAAGTAATTATTATAAGAATAATTTTTAAGGATATAAAAGTTGGTTTTTATGGATTTTTTTGTATTTATAAAATGAATATTAAATGCTAGTGGAAAAAAAAGAATAATTAAATTATTAGTAATTATTGGCGAAAGAGAATTAAAAATTATGTATGCATTTTGAATTAAAAAATAAAAAGAGACGAAGAAATATAATATTGTACCTGAAGGTTAATGTTTACTCTCCCAAAACGTCATTTGACAAGCATTTAGCATCCTTTCTAATAATAATAATAAGTGTAAATTTTATAAGAATAATGTTTGATAAATAATTATTTGTTTTTATATAATACTTAAAGTCTTTTCTCTATTTCTACTTTTTTAATTGCATTTTATCTATCCTTAAAATTTTTTAAAATATTCAATTTATCTTTTAATCAATTTTTTCGCTTATGAACAAATTTTTAATCAAAATATCCTTGACTGTAATATATATATATATATAATAAAACACTTAGTCATATTACATGCATGGACTATTTTTAATTTTTTATTTTTTTATTTATTTACTTTTTTATTTTTATAAAAAAATTATATGATAAAAAATTTAGCGAAATGAAAAATTAAATGTTTTAAAAATTTTCAGGATTAAATAAGATATAATTAAAAACTTATAAATAAATAAAAAAATTTTAGTATTGTATAAAAATAAATTAATATATTTGTCCAATAATATTTAACTCGTATAAAACATCCTATTAAAATAGAGAAAAGAAAAGAAAACGTAAGATGTGCTAAATGACATGTTGGTCAAAGTGATATGTTTTCACTTTTTCACTGCTAATTTTTATTCAAATAAGAAATAAAATTGTTACTACGATCTTCTTCAAACCGGAAAAGTTGTAATTTTTTGACTCTGTGTATAAAAACTGATCGAAAATGCTATTAACTGACCAAGAAAAGAAAAAGAAACAGTCAATTTGAGCAGAGAGGTGGGGACCATATGCTTCTGTACCTACTACTTATAGCCGAGAGAGTTGTTGAGAAATATGAGTTCCTATTCTCATAAAAAATTGATAGAGATTAAATTTAGTTACACAAATAGAAATTTTTCTGTTTTATATATAAAACAGAGAGAGAGAGAGAGAAATGCTCTCTTTAACTTGAGATCACACTGGTAAAAACAAATGAGAATTGCTTTTCCTTACCCTTTTCTTTTTTTCCGTTCCTTCCTCTTTAACTGGACAGAATTGCTTGGAATTGATGCTATCTTGCAGCAAAAGCATTGTTGAAAGACAATCTTTTCAGATAGAAATTCCAGTGTCTAGTGATACAAGCACAAGCACAAAGACAGCCTACCACTGCTGATCAAAGGATCAGAACTTCACACAAGACAAGCCTTACATGCTTTAAAGCAAAGCATACAAACACAGTTTTGTATCACATGGACATGACAAATCATCTTCTCGTTGCAGAAACTATCCAATCCTTTAGTCCCGAAGTCTCACGTCAACTAAATAAAATAAAACAAAATGATGGTTTATTATTCCAAACACTATTGACACACTAACATTTCACTATTTATTAGTTTTTTTATACTTTGATCCTTAATATTTGTCAAAAAATATTTTGATCTACGTATTCATTTGTTCATTCATTTTGATCTCTGGATGAGAGAGAAGGGAGAGGAGAAGAGAAAGACAGAAGGAGAGAGAAATCACAAGTCAAGCTTATTTAGGCCATTCGGCCTACGAAAATCCACCGGATGTTTTTTTATCTTTGAGAGATGAGTTTGTCCATGATGGTTTCGAACCATTAAACCATCGGACGTGGTAGATCGGAGCCAAAAAGTAAAAAAATCCTATTTGATTTTGTATTTTTCTTTGTTTTTGTGTGTATTAAAATGATTTTTAAGGTTTTAGATATGTTTATTGGCTTTATTTCGAGTCATTTAGAGGTGTTTGAGAAAAAAATGATACCGAAATTTAATTTTTATGGATCCGAAAGTTAACCTCCGATTTTTCGATGAAATTCCGACGAGCTCGGATTGGTCGAAAGTTGCAAGGTCTTTTTTTTTTTTAATTCAAGTGCAACCTGGTTGCACAAATCAACTAGATGCCTGTCCTTATTGGTTTAAGCCAACCAGGCGCTTTTTCTTCTTTTTTTTTTTTTTTTTTAGAGGTTCGAGTGCAACTCGATTGCACAAACCAACCAGGCGCTCGTCCTGGTTGGTTTGTGCCAACCCAACACCCCCCCCCCCATTTTATTTTATTTTATTTTGCTTTGCTTCCTTCCTTCCTTTATGTATTTTAGTCAAGCTTATTTAGGCTACTCGGCCTACGAAAATCCACTAGATTTTTTTTATATTTGAGAGATGAGTTTATCCATGGTGGTTTCAAGCTATTAAATCATTAGAGGAGGTAGATCGAAGTCAAAAAAGAAAAAAAATTGATTTGATTTTGAATTTTTCTTTGTTTTTATGTGTATTAAAATGATTTTTAAGGTCTTAGATGCGTTTATTGGTTTTATTTCAGTCATTTTGAGGTGTTTAGAAAAAAAAATGATGCCGAAATTCAATTTCTATGAATCTAAAAGTTGATCTCCGATTTTTTGACGAAATTCTAACAAGCTCGGGTTGGGCGAAAGTTGCAAGGTCTTTTTTTTTTTTTTTAATTCAAGTGCAACCTAGTTGCACAAACCAACTAGACGCCTGTCTTGGTTGGTTTAAGCCAACCAGGCGCTTATCTTTGTTGTTTTTTTATTTTTAAGGGTTCAGGTGCAACTTGATTGCATAAACCAACCAAGCACTTGTCCCCCCTCCCCTGTTTATTTTTTTCCTTCCTTCTTTCCTTTATATATTTTAGGTTTAAATTGTTTTTTTTCCTTCCTTCTTTTATAAATTTGAGGTTTAAATATTACAAGTTTTTATTTAGAAATACCTTAAATAAAAAAAATAAATCATGTTTTTTTAATTAAATAAAAATTTATAGAATTTTGACATGATTTTATTCTATCTACCCATTGTATTGCATGGATAATTTTAAAAATTAATCATCCTATCAACATTAATTAAGAAATTTTTTTCCATTTATTAGTTTTTATAAAAATTTATTTATTAATTATAACTTTATTTTTAATATAATATTATAAAATATATATTTTTAAAATTTTTTTAATTCTTGATTAATAGTTTGGTTAAAATCAATCCATAAAAATGAATGATTTATTTTTTTAACCAAAAAATTTAAAAAAAAATTAATTAAATAAAACATTATAATTAAAAAATTTTAAAAATTTAAAATAATTTTGTTTAATCAAACTCGCAGCATATTACGGGCAACTGACTTGTAAAAGCTATGCCACATCGGTTCAAAATAGCAAATCTCTTCGAACGGTACTTCTAGCGGATATTCCAACCATTTAGGGGCAACAAAAATTCTAAAATGAAAAATCACTTTCTGCAAGCTTCGACAACTGCTCAAAACCGAGCTATTTGGAGGATTATGCAACCAAATCGAAGGGTTTCCTCACAAAATTAACACGCATTAATACCCTCCTGCTTTCTTCAAAGGGCCTAATATAGACGCCGCACTTCATAACTTGCTACCGTAAACTATTGAGTTTTACATTTGAACTTCAAGCGCAGCCTCACTCTAGCACAGATGCTCACCTCCATCACAGCATGAGTTAGGAGCTTTCTGGTTTTTCTTGGCTCAACTGGGAATCTCTGCATTCCCTGCCAACAAAATATGTCTACCTGCACCAAAGTCAACTAACTTCAAGAACTCCATACACCTACAGAAGACTTTGCAAGCAAGTTAATAACCCAACCAAGAACAGCTGCACTATCTTTTATTTTCAAATAAGTAAAGAAGAAGCACAAGGAAGTGACTCTAACTAAACAGAAAATATAAACACATCAATAAAACTAACGATTTTCAACCTAAATACTATGGTTCTGCCACTATTCACTGTCTCCTTACAAATATATTACTTGGCCAATCATACATCAGGAATAAGGAAGATCAAATTATGTAATCTACAATCTTAAACTGATGCTACAACTCACATAGAAAAGCATCAAAACCATTGATGTGCAAACCTCATTCTCAGTTTTTCATCCTAACCTAAGAAAGACTCACCGATATGGCTCCAACTTCATGCCTTGCAAGCTTGAAGGGTTTTGATAGCTTGTCCTCACAGTTCCCCACTGGGTGGACCAAAAGGCCAGGCATACAAAAGTACATCATAAGATAAAAGTTCTAAATTTATACAATTTGACAATTCATACTGCCTTTATGTCCAATCTGCATAATATAAAAAATTTCAATCGAGCTTTTGACAGCATATATAAGAACATGAAGAATAAAAATAGCAAAATACAACTGTTTCCTAGGATAAACTTTGTGTTAGTTTTTGGTTTATAGGGTTTAGAGTTGGCAAAGTAATAGAAGGAAATGTTCTATGAGTCTAGTTTGTAAGAAATGAACCAAGGCAAGAAACAAGAGAAAAGAAAAAAGAATATTGCTAGCTAAAATTATTTATTACAAGGATTTGCTTTATATACTTACGTTTCTTGTTATGCCACACAAGCACCTTTGCACATGTAGTCTCACAATAACCAACAATAATTCAAGATTTTTTTTATACCACTGGGATATTAGTCCAGCATGATGCCTCCTTAGACGCGTTTGAGACATGGGACTGAACATGACAACTGCACTCTACTTGTATTGGTGTTTGGAACACACATTGAATCGGATAATTTTTGTCCCGTCCTATACCCAAATTTCTATCCCATCTCCCCTTATAGGACAACCTTGACATGTATTATCTTGTCCAGTCCCATCTACTCACCAAACACACGCATAAAGCGTGTTTGGTGAGCAGATGCATAGGACAGAATTATACTGGTGAAGATTGTCTTATGGAGAAGGTGGGACAAAAATTTGAGTGTAAAACGTGACAAATTACTCTGTTCTAACTCTATACCAAACACCAAAACAGCTAGAATTGTCTTGTCTAATCCTGTCCATTCTCATGTACCAAATGCTACATTAATTCACTAATCTCAACTAAAAACACATTCACCTAATATACTCTTAATCTAACCTTCCTCCTCAATGCACTGATCTAAATTGTAAACAAGTTCTGTTCATAAAAAAATCTAGAAAAGAATTCTTCGACAAAGTAAGGTCTGCTTTGCCTTGAGGGAGAGAAAAAAACTTAGTTGTATTAACTTTAGAACTATGTAGTAAGTGAATTTCAAATAAAATTGCTAAAATCTATTAAGCACGACCTGAAAAACCTAGGAGGTATTAAGTTGATTAGTGCAGCCTATAAATATGCAAAGGCATTAATGATGTGACATAACCAGAACCAAGGCATGCAAAGCAAAGCCGTGAATACATTTCAAGCTAGCAATAAAAGAGTTCTTTTGTTTCTTCCCATGGTTCACTTACCAAAACTACACATGCAAGACAAATTTGGATTTTCTTCCTACAACCGTTTAGTGCCATGTTAGGATTCCAAAAAATAGAACTCTAACAATTTGAAATTTGAATATGGGATGGAATTGCTCCAAGAGGGAGATCCTAAGCTCAAAAGAAGTCAGTAGGAGTCACACCTAAGATAGATCGCACCACACAACCACAAGCATAATTGCTAGAAAAGTAATTCATAATCTCAATCCCGAAATAAAGCATTGCAAGCATCAATATTTATAGTCTCAACACATTCCTGAAGTTTCAAGTAGTTGAATTTCTAATTCAAGAAGGATTTTGAATCTTAAATAAGAAAATACAACCATTTTCATACTTAGAATAGGAAAAGAACTTCAAGAAAGTTTAATATTTCAAAGACTAGTCAGATATATTCTAGACCTATAAATTTCCAGCAAATATGAAAATCATAGAAATACCCCTGCAAATTTCATATTTACAGAACCAAACCTAAATAGATAATTTCAAGCAGAAGCACATAAAAGTTGATCATTTTATTGACTACAAGCTACAACTCTAGCCATCTAATCAACCATAATCTTGTAAAATTTCATTATGACACTTAGCCAACAAGCATGAACAAAAAGCCTAAGCTAATACTTTCCACTCTGTAACCTATAACAGAACTCTAGGCTGAGGTGGTACAGACCCGTAACACATTGTAATGAACAACATAACTATACGCTCCAGTGCTTGATCAACTAAGAAAGAATGCCTTTATGATTTCTTTGTATGGTTGAAATAAGAATCTAAGCCAACTTTATGTGATCACTTACAAATACCAGTTTGCACTAGAAGATAAGAATTAGTGCAATTCAAGTTTTATTTTTCTCAACAACATATAACCTATGTTAATTTTAATCAACCATCCAAATGCTTACAGACACCAATATCAACTTTTCGTAAATTGAACAAAATTGACACAGTTATAGTCTATCAGACATGCACGAACAGAAAATAAGAATAACTATTGGAATTCTAAAAGGCAGGAACTAAGAAGTGCTGCATACAGAGAAAAATTCTAAAATACTCCAACATTCCAAGTTAAGCTTTATTCATTAAGCAAAGGGCAAGAGCATTCATTTTTGACAAGCCAACAAAATGACATCCCGAGATGAGAATACCAAACAAGCAAGTAAAAGATTCATATCAACAATCATCTTGAACGGACTAGATCCAAATTACATCATAAAAAAACCAAGTCTCTCAAAGTAGCTAACATCTCCAACTGAACATACTCAACAAAACAAATCAAAACCATACATCCAAATATCCCAGAAAAACTAAACAACTAAGGAAGTTTACGAACACTACCTCAAACCCTGGTACAAGAAGAATCAAAATCATCTGGAGCGACACGAGCAATCCAATTACTAAGCGTCCGCTTAGTATCCGAATGATTAACATAAGCCAACTCATACATACTACACAAATTAACAACAAGCGTCTCATTCAATGCAACAGTCGGCACTCTCTCGAGCGAACTCTCCAAAACCTTAATTGAATCCGACAAATCCCTCAAGTACATCAAACAAATGGCCTTATTATTAATCGCTACAACATCCATTCCATCCCTCTCAACACAATCATCATATTCCCTCACAGCTGACAAATAATCCTTCGCCACCAAATACACCAATGCCTTATTCCTACTAACCAAATTCCTTAACCCAATGTCACTCTCTCCACTCTCACTAATCAATTTCTCTACCTTACTAAATGACACATTTGCCCCTTCCAAATCCCCAATTTGCATCTGCACATGCCCTAATTTCGACAACATAACCGGATCTAAATTCCCGCCAGAGATTAAACCATTAATCAAGTCTAAACAAACACTAAACTCCTTATTACTCAAATGATGATTAATTATATTATTAACAACAAAAACCTCTCTCTTCCTCCAAACTTTGACCGACACGTCGGTTCCATTCTTATTCAATTTTCCACGTACAAAATCAAGTAACAAATAAAACCGATCTAAACCTTCTTGACGGTTACCTAATTTAATCGGGAGCAGCGCATGCAGCCACCGGAGAGAGAAAGGGACCATCGAACCGGAGCGGTTAGGATAAATTTTAGGGTAAGTTTCGTAACGGTAATGATGACTGTTAAAATCGTCGACGGAATCGAGTTCGGTTTGGGCTTCCTGGAAACGGCGTAGTTTAGTAAGAGAGAGAACGATGTAAGCGAGGTAAGTGAGGTGATCGTGCGGGGTTGATAAGAGAGAGAGGGATCGGGCTCGGTTGACTTTGTCGAGGATTGATCGCCAGGAGCCGCGGTTGGCTAGGTCTTGGAGAGAGGTTAGTTCGTGGGCTAGGTCGTTGAGTGTGGTGAATTGGTGGGTTAGTGGATCGGTGGAGGGCTGGACCGGTGTGGGTTCGAGTTGCGGCGAAGGAGAATCCATTGTTCGACGGTGTAAGCCACCGGAGATTTGTCGATGGAATCTTGGGGATGGTGTATTGTTTTACAGGAAAGGAAATGTTTAATCGTTAATGGAGCTGAAGGCGACAAAAATTTTCTTCGTTTTCCCTTCGAATTGCAAGGCCCAAAGACTTTTTACACAAATGGACTCAGGCTATATCACTAAGCCCATAGCAAAACCCGTGGGTATTATTTGAATATTGTATTTTATTCAAACTAAGGGGTGAAGTATTATTTTTCACATGGTAATACAGTTCGGACTTCAGCATGAGAATTTAGTCATATTTCTCTTTTTACATCCATTAACAGAAGTTATAGTCTTTAGTTTATAGCATGAAAGATGATATATCATGAAATAATAGACCATTCAAATAATTCTTGTAGAAACCCCGATCCAAAAGGTCCCCGATGCTATGTTTTTTTTATACTCGATCGGTTATGATCGTAGTAACTCTACCTCATTACAAACATCATATGTTATAAGATTCGAGATAATAAGTATAATGTTTAAAATAGATACATCTCCTCGCACACCACAAGGAACTCATTGCAAATAATTATAACAAGGTCATTAATAGTCATGTCATGAGGATACATTCATATCAAAGGCGGACTTTTATATATAAAGGTTAATAAGACACCTATAACAAATTTTGCCTTTTACACTCTACACGCATTTAAAAAAAAGTATTGTATTTCTTATCCAAATATAACAAACCTCATGGTTGAGCTTATTCGAAGTTAAACTTGCCAAAAGGTATACTATTAAGTCTAATCGGATCAAATATTTTTCTCCACAAGCTAACTTAGTCATTAGAGAGTCCTTAAAAAACAAGCCAAAGGATCTGGTTTTATAGATACACATTATAGATCGTCAAGATAAGGATGAATCTTCATCCTACAATCGATTAAAAAGAAACAACATTCAATCGTTCAAATAATCCGAGGATCAATGAGCTCGGTAATTGCATTATTTGTAGGAAACCAAGCAAAAAGTCAATCCTTGATCACCTTATTTCTCTATCTCCAAACTTATTGATGGTTAAGAACCAAAGAACGTCATCATAATCTACATCATTCAACTTCACCAACCTAATTATTCCGTTAGTCGATGTGTTGCAGCTTGCAATGATACATTAGGTTACTAATTAAGGCCTACATATCGACTCGAAGCAAATAAAATCTTTAGCCACTCCATTATCGATGCCACAAGTAGAATAAGAGCTTTCTTGTGGCCTTCACCCAAAAGTTTTCATTTCCATCATAGGCAAACCCACCACACCAAGATAGACCGCCTCGCTAGTTAGTTAATGAGGGAGTAGTTAGATATGTTGAGAGAGGAGAGGAAAAAAGAATGTCATTGTCCTCAAATCCTCATAATGACCACCGTCCTAGCTAAAAACTAGCCAATCAAGGCTCTCAAAAATTAAGGAAAGGGTTGATAAAACATTAAGAAACAAAAAATCTTTATCCAAGAAAAATACATGGAGTGGAACGAAAATCCATTTTAGGTTTACTAAAAGGACACAAAGAAACAAAAAGCATAGACAACCAAATGTTTTAAGAAAATAATAATCATGTTTAAGATGATAAAGATAATCAAATGAACACGTGCCATTAAGAGTAGCAATTGACATACGATTGATCAAATTGATAGTAGTAGCAAAAGCAAAGGCCAAATTTTATGAGAAATGTTATAATGACCCAGTAAAATTAAATCTGTTTAAAAAATGTGACGATGTTGATGCTCAATAAAGCCATTTTTTTTATAAGTGTGAGGACAATTGATACGATGATACCGTAATACACCGATACCTTTAAAAGATGTAAGCGAAAGCAAAAAAATGCCAATATGAGTAAAAATAGGTATGTAATTTTTTTACACTCACCCCAATCAATTTAAACCATTTTAATTTTAGTTAAGAATTAGCATTCGACAAAATTTTAAAAGCTGAAAAAAGGTCTTAAAAATATTTGATTTATTCAAAATGGGTAAAACCAAATAAATTTAATAAAGGCATCGACAAAAATAACAAAGTAGCAAAATTTATTGAACGAAATCATTAGGGATAAGCCCCATACATCATTGAAGATGAGCTTTAAAGGGACATTAGACCTATGATTTATAATTTCTATAGATAACCTAAAGGACTTGCCAAATGGACAAATCGGACAATCAAATTTAAGCTAAAAGTTGAACATGGAGCTTGTTTTTGAAAAATAAGTTGACTTAAAATGTGTATAGTTGGATGCCCAAGCCGATGATACCATATTTCAGCAAAAACATGAGTTGTTAAAAGAGCTTGATGAAAAAAAATGGTTGAGGAGTTAGAGAGGACATAAATACCATCCTTACTCCATCTAGAAAGAAAAATTTTCTTGAAGATACAATCCTTGACACAAAATATAATGAATGAAATTAAAAAAAAAACATTATTTTTACATATAAATTATTTAATAGAGAGTAATGACTTTTTAATATGTAGTACGTGAAAAATATGAGGTATTTTAAACATGTATTTTGCTAAATGTAAATTATGTAATCAACATTAGAGATATCAAGTCCCTTACTATCTCCTACTTAATTGATCAATACAAGTCAAAAGTGACAAGATAAGTGGCAACGATATCCGAAACCATTGAGTAAGGGGAATTGAACTAGTGGAAGTGATGTTTGAGACCATAATGACTGCTAGAATGAAAGGTTGTTAATAATATTAAGAATATGATTAAGTAGTGTAATTCTATTCATTACATAGTTGGAAGCATATGTTACAACCATGTGGAGGATTAGTCTATTGAGATTGATTCTAGAGATCGGCTTTAAGTGAACTAGTTGGTTGTTGTATAGAGGAGATTTTTTAGCACCAATAATTATAACTTTATTACCACAAAAAAAGATAGCAGGTGCTACAAATTGAATAACTACTCTTGAAGATCCTGCTTGCCATTCAAAAGCAATGGTCAAATGGGCCAAGATATAAGCAGGTACCGTAACTAGAGGATAAAGTCAATAATAAAAACACTTCTTAGTTGAGGAACTCATGAATCAACAAGAGACTATTCAATTTGGTGAAGAAAATAAGTTCAACTCTAGTTAATAGATGGGCACAAGGTCTTTAAATTTATCCACGCAATCCTCTAAAAGCATGAAGATTGAAATCGAAATAGATGTAAGTCTAAATATTACAGACTAGTTCATCATTAATTTGTTTTGCACTATCTAAATAAATAAATATAAAATCATCATATTGTTTGAGTTTTTATGATGACATATGAAGTTGCATAATTTTAGTATTTGAGGGAGACACTAAAGTGTATTTTAAAGTAAACCAAATATTATAAAAGAGAGTATAATTACCAATTAATGAAAATATCTTAGGAAATAAGAAGGCAATAAAGTACTCATTGGTAATTGATCTTGCTAAGTCCGAGCGAGAAAAAGCCGGGTTTGGTTGTAGAAAAAGAGTACCATCACTTAGTTGATAAGGTGGTGGACATGGTCTCTATCGATGAAGTTAAATAACCCTCGATCCTATAGAAAAGGTTTCATATGAAGTTTTTAATATCAATAATTGTTTGCAGATCAATTTCAATGAGACATAATGATGGACATTAGCAAAAAGAATGGTGTGAGTAAACAAGAAAACAGATTATAGCTTCAAAACTAGCATAGGGCTACTACCATGAGAATTTATCCATTTATATAATGATGTTGGCATAGTAGAGTTCAAGGTATTGAATTAATTAGCTTCCATAAGACAACTATACTTTCGCTCCGATACTAAATTAAGAGAAATAAACAAAGAAAAAAATATATGAAAATACCTTTATAACTATAATATAAAAAGGTACTTATGAATAAATGAAATGAAGTTAAAGAACAAAATGAAAATTGCAAATAATATCAAACTGATTTTTTAGTTTGTTCCCTAAAAACATGTATTATTGTTAATTATGTTTCATTTCGGTCGTTTTTTATCAATGGAAGAGGGAAGTATAAGTGTCTTCTTTAGATTTTAAATCAATTATTAGAAACTTATGATGAAAATAGTTAAGAATATACTCCGGATGCGTTAAAAGTAAGTCCCAATTAAACGTATTGATTTAGAATTACTTCATTAACTTCCTTTTCGAGCTCTTAGTTTCCAAATATAGGTACGTAATTCTATGCAATCTTTGAATGAAAAAAGTCAAGCACAAGACCTATCTTGTTTATTAAAAATTTTCTTATGCGGGATCATAACTTAACTATTATTGAAACCGGTGGGGAATATACTCGATCCATTCGTTCTCGAGAAATTATAAATTTACTATGGTGAGACTTGCTCTATCCCGGTCACTACTAATTAAGATCCTTCAAAGAATTATGGGATTGGCATCAACATAATCGCTCAAAAGCTCGATACTCCCAATGGATTTGCCATTTTGAATTACGAACCTAATCCCTTCGATGTCAAGCCTTTACCCGGCCTAGCCATGACTTGGCCTTAGTTTGGAATGATACTAATGCATAAAGAAATCAATACCTTACTATAAAAGGTCTTAGGGTTTTATTAAAGCTCCTTCAAATACCACGGATAAGAATACTTCAACTTTTGAACACAAAAAACTTTGTCAATGGTTATAAAGTTTGGGTCATAAATATTGTGTCACTATTAAAAGCCAACTACTTCTTTGTTTATGTGAATTTTTTTGTTAACATGTATAAACTAATTATTTATTTTGCTAATTAGTTAGTTTAGTTAGTTAGAAAGGTTGTTAACTTTGTTAGTTATCTTTGTTAAGAGTAGCAGTAGTTAGTAGATAATTTAATCTTAGCTTCTTCTCTATGATATAAAAAGGTGGGAAACAATTTGTGTCACTTTATAAAGGGTTATAAACAAGTTTAGTTAGTTAGAAAGGTTGTTAACGTTTTTAGTTATCTTTGTTAAGAGTAGCAATAGTTAGTAGATAATTTAATCTTGGCTTTTTCTCTATAAT